GCCCATACTCCTTAATGAACATTGATGCAAAAATCCTCAATAAAATAATGGCAAACCGAATCCAACAACATATACAAAAGATCATATACCATAACCAAGTCGGCTTCATCCAGGAATGCAGGGAGGGTTCAACATACACAAATCATTAAATGTAATACAACACATTAACAGAAGCAAAAAAAAAAAAAAACCACTGATCATCTCAATAGATGCAGAAAAGGACTTCAATAAGATTCAGCACCATTTCATGATAAAAGCTCTGATGAAACTAGGAATAGAAGGAATGTACCTCAACATTATAAAAGCTATATATGACAAACCTATAGCCAGCATCATACTTAATGGGGAAAAACAAATCATTTCCTTTTCAGTCAGGAACAAGACAAGGGTGTCTACTCTCCCCATTCCTATTCAACATAGTATTGGAATTCCTAGCCAGAGCAATAACGCAAGAGGAAGAAATAAAAGGAATATAATTAGGTAAAGAAGTAGTCAAACTATCCCTATTCATGGATGACATGATCTTATACCTTAAAGACCTAAAAACTCCACCCAAAAAAATCCTACACACTATAAACAGATTCAGCAAAGTATCAGGATACAAAATCAAGTTACAAAAATCAGTAGCCTTTCTGTATACCAACAATGAGCAGATTGAGAACAAATATAGGAAAACAATTCCATTTATAATATTCTCAAAAAAATCCAATACCTATGAATAAACATATCAAAGATGTAAATGACCTCTACAAGGAGAACTACAAACCACTGAAGAAAGAGATCAAAGAAGACTACAGAAGATGTAAAGAGCAGGGAATACACTGGAAGCAATAGGTATAAGTAAGGATGTTTTCAGTATAACTCAAGTGCCTCAGCAACTAAGAGAAAGGATGTACAAATGGGATTACATGAAATTAAAAAGTGTCTGCACAACAAAAGAAATGGTCTCTAAATTGAAGAAGCCACCCACAGAATGGGAGAAAATCTTTGCTAGCTATATATCAGGCAAAGATGATCAGAATATCCAGGGAGCTCAAAAAACTAAACTCCCCAAAATATCAATGACAGAATAAAGAAATGGGAAACTGAGCTAAACAAACTTTTTCAAAGGACAAAGTCCAAATAACTAAAAAACACATGAAAAATGCTTACCATCCCTGTCCATAAAGGAAATGCAAATCAAAACCATACTAAGATTCCACCTCACTCTTGTTAGAATAACTACCATCAGAACACCACCAACAACAAATGTTGGCAAGGATGCAGGGGAAAAAGGAACCCTCATACACTGCTGGTAGGAATGTAAGCCAGTACAACTACTATGGAAAACAATATGGAGGCTCCATAAAAAAACTAAGAATAGATCTTCCATATGATACAGCAACACCACTCCTAGGGATATGCCTGATGGAATGTGACTCGGGTTGTTACAAAGGCACTTGCACACAAATGTTTATTGCAGCACTATTCACACTAGCCAAGTTATGGAAACAGCCGAGATGCCTCACTACCAACAAAGGGATTAAGAAAATGTGGTATTTATACACATTTTATTCAGACATAAAGAAGAATGAAATTTTGTCATTCACAAGAAAATGGATGGAACTAGAGAACATTATCTTAAGTGAAGTTAGCCAGGCTCGGAAGTTAGTTAGTTAGTCAGGGAAGAATCACATGTTCTCCCTCATATGTGGATTATAGACCTAAAACAAATGCAGTAATGTTATTGGACATGGGTCACACTAAGGGGAAACCATGCACAGGAGGGATAGGGCAAGGAAGTAAACAAAAAACTTGAATGTGGTTGAGGTGCACACTGTATAGGAATGAATATAGTAATCTTAAACTGGCAGAGGCCACTATGGGAAGGGGACTAGGAAGTAGTGAAGAGTCTGATAGAGATAGATGAACCAATACAGGTTGTAATACATATATTCATGGAAACAACACAAGGAACCTTCCTGTATTGGTATCTTTATCTCAAACTAACAAAAACGCCATGTTTTTGTTCTTGTCTTTTATGGTTTTCTACAAAATCAGAGAACAGAAGGGCAGAACAGGTTCTGCCCCGAGGCAGGGAAGGGGGTTGGCGGGGAGGTGGGGGAAAAGTGGCACAAATAATGTAAACACATGTAAGTAAAAGCAAAAATGATACCTGTTGAAATTGTTCCAGGAACCAGGAGAGGGGGATAAAAGAGAACAGTGGAGGGAGTAATTTAAGTATAATATATCTTAAGTATTTACTTTTGTAAATACTCCAATGTACCCCCACCCAGCACAATAATAATAATAATAGTTAATAATAATAATAATAATAATAATAAGTGCTGCAGTTCTTCTGAGGTGTTTAATTCAATGTTAAGTCTCTGCAGTGACATCCACATCAAACATGGAAGTACTGCCATCACGTCCCCATATGAATGGGTCATTCAGAAAAACATCATCCATAGAGCTTCAGGAGTGTGTGAAAGGAGTTTTACTCAGCAAATGCCTATCAGATCTGTACAATATATCATTCTCATTTTGTTTTGGGGAAACTGAACTACAATTAAGTGAACTAATTTGCCAGCATTCTCCTTAGTTCAGTAGTATAGCAGATGCGTAACTCCAATAATTGCAATCCTCATGACCAGCCCATTTCATCAGAGGTGAAATGCAATAAAAGGAAGTATTCAAGTATTTTATGGAAGGGTTTCCATCAAATTTGAAAAGTTGACATAGAAAGTAAAAATTGTTTTGTGTAAACATGTAGGTATCAGTTTACAAAAGATAAATCCCTCAGAATTATCCTACCTAGAGACTAAGTAACAAACACAGTTACATTGCAGATTTGATCTGAATGTATTGACTTTAGTCAGCTAAAAATAATCTAGTTGCCATGAGTCATGTGAAGCAGAAAGGACAAACATATTTCAAGGCATGCTTTAATTTATGGCACACGAAGCAATGCTTATGAGAATCAGAAAGTGGAAAGAAATGTGTTTCACTAAAGTCAAATTAAATCTTATTTTCCACGGTGGTTGAGTTTCTATCTGCATATTTTAAATTTCCTGCATTAGAATTTAAGCTTAAAAAGTAAATGTGAATTTTTAACATTCTTTTTTGTGCTGAGCTATTTTATTTTGGGTGGGAGTAAGACTTGAACTTAGGTCTTATTCTTCCTAAGCAGGTAGTCTACACTTGAGCCACACCCTCAGCCCTTTTTGCTTTAGTTATTGTTTGAGTCAGGTCTCATGTTCCCCCAGACCTGGTCAGCAATCTTCCTATTAAAGCTTCCATGTACTTAGGGTGACAGGAGTGCACCACCACTCCCGGCTTACTGATTTGAGATGGGGTCTTGCTAACCCTTTGCCCAGTCTGGCCTCAAACTGGGATCCTCTCAACTCTGCCTGTATAGTAGCTAGGATTACAAGTGTGAGCCACTCTGCCCACCTTGTGCTAACAATTCATGCTACATTTTAGTGTAACAATTTCAAAAGAACTTTATTTCAAAGAAACACATGAAGTTGTACTTCTTAAAGGCCTTTAATGTATTTTAAGAGAAGACAAGTAAGTATCTATGAAAACTCCTATTTTCAGTATAAAGTGCTGTGTCTAGGATATGACAAAAATTTCTCTCAAAATATTAACAACAATCTCAATGCAGAATGCCTTGGATGCCGAAGGCATCACCATATGCTCAGTTCTGAGACATGAAGTGGATAAAGAGAAGACAGAGGGACAGAGACTTAATTGTGAGCCTGAACCTGATAGATGCTCTGTGGGTTTTCCTTTATTTCAGGAAATGGATAATGCCTAAAAGCTACAAATGCCAAGATGCAACATTCAGAAGAGCCAGGAAAAGGTGTTTATTTGAAGAAAACATATAAAGTTTTGCAATTTACATAGCATTTTGAATCCTGCACTGCAGAAATTTTCTATTGCTTCACAATGACCAAAGTGGAGGTGTGGCTCAAGTGGTAGAGCACATGCCTAGCAAGTCTGGGGCCCCAAGTTCAAATCCCAGTATTGTCAAAAAAAAATAATTTGAGTCTTCTCTCCTTTGGGCAGGCAGAATGACTCAAGTGGTAGAGCACCTTCCTAGCAAGCATGAGGCTCTGAGTTCAAACCCTAATCCCACACACACAATTAACTGAGATTTCACTATTATTTGTATATTTTCTAAAGTGTATTGTGTTGTACAACAGGGTCGCTCTCAAGGTTGGGGTATTCATGGAGTTTCCATTCACTTCAGGATTTTATCTAATCCTGTCCATTAAGTTTACACCTAAACATTGCAAGAATTTGATGCTGGCCAAAAAGGAAATCCTTGAAGGTTTAGGGAGCAGGTGTGAGTTCTAGAGCACTTTCATAAACAATTTTGGGTCATATTATGTACTTTTCTCTAGCCAAAACAAAAGTCGATTAAAAGACCATGGAGATAACCAGTTAGGCTGGTTATTGCATTTTACAAACAATGCCTCTTATACTGAAATTCTCTTCATTGACACAGTTAAGATCACTAATTTGTGGGATTCAAATGTTCCCCTCCATCTTTGAGACGATGATTTGGGTAAGAGTGTGTGGATAAAAACCAACATGGTGCCACAATACAAAGAAGTCAAGTGATTCTTGTTAAAATGATATCTAATGTTTACTTGTGTCTATGAACTTTCTATTTTAAGTTATAAAATGCATTGGCAAATGTCAAAAGGAGATAGTAGTATCTGAAATGATAGGCAAATTGGGAAATGAATACTTCTAAAATTTCTCATATTGTCATTTCAAGTGTCGTCCATATTTGTGTGAATCTAAGGATACCACCTGCTTATTTGAAATTATCTAATCTTTGTTGTTATTCCATTTAAAAACAGAGATATTTGTAAAGGAAAGTAAGCAAATATGAATTTAGAGGCTGATCACTGTGTGTTATGACAGGTACTTTTTGATAAACACTGATAGGAGTTTGCATAGGTAAATGACAGGACATTTTGATACAGTTTGCTCTGATGTATCTACAGACAGAACGCCTTTCAAGTGACTGCTGTGGATGGCGTCTGCAGTGGGATCATTCAGTGCCTCTCCACTGAAGACTCTATTGACTGGCTACAAGCAATAGCAACAAACATTTCAAACCTCACAAAGCACAATGTAAGTAGTGACTCAAGCAATAATTACCTGGCTGTAGATTTTCTCAACCTTTGTAAATGTCTTCACTATGTATCTATGTTTCATCAACTGCTTCATGTTCACCCAGAAATGGTCCACTTCATACTCCTTATGAAAGCTCTCCTGGAACACATATCAAAAGAAAATTACTGTACTCAGAATTCTAGCAGAAGTTACCAGTTCAAGAATATTGTCACATGTGGATTTTTTTCACAAACATCCTACCTATCTTGTTTAATTAAATAGATCTAAACAAGAATTTACAATAATACACTGACTATAGTGAAGTAAGAGCATCTTTGGTTAATTTACTACTGAACTTCAAGAGAGAAATATGGATTTTTGTTGGTGGCCATGGAACTCTAGCTAGGAATGTTTAAAGGAGGGGGAGGATTGGGAGGAGTTGACACAGAGACTGAGGTCCTAAGGTATTCTGCAGGTGCAAGAAGAGTCAGGAGATGTCATGCAGTACCTGTAACTTGTTCAGTAGAGCAGTGTCTCTAGTTTTAGAAATGGCTTCTCTACATTTTGTCCATTTTCTATTCAATCATTTTTTCTCTTGCCATTACTGTGCCTCTGTTTCTCCATTATCTTTACACTTTGTTAACTCAATCAACCCATTGTTGCTATTACTTCTAGAAGAGTAGTCTCACAAAATGTACAAATCCACAAACTTCATTGAATATTGAAATAGCATGATTACAGATTGATTTATTTTAGAAAAAAATACTTGACATCATCCGTGCCTTTGTCTTGGTTGCTTCCTCTCTCCACACCTGTTCCATGCTATGTTAGAATACTTAAGAAATCTTCATGGAAATTGGGAAGTCTAATATGTAAAGGCTTAAACAGAAATGTTAATTCATGAATGTACAGTTCTCTGTACGTTCCTTGCTTCCTTCCTCCCTCCCTCTCTTCCTTCCTTCCTTCTCTCTGTTTATGTTTTGTTTTTCTGAATCTGAGTCTCACTTTGTAGCCCAGTCTGACCTCAAACTCCCAATCTACCTGCCTCAGTCTCCTGAGCACTAGGATTGTAGGCATGACTGTGACTGTAATTAGTTTCCTCAGTCTCAGTGGCTGACATGGCTTTCTCTCTCAATCAATCCAACATCTTTCTCTATGGATGGTCCTCAACACTTGGGGGCTTTTGGTAGGTGTGAATTTGCAAAGAATAAAGGCAGGTGGACATTTTTCACAGTCCTAGGTGGGTATAAATAGGTTGAACTTTATCAGAGGCATCACTGAATGAGGAGGCCTGATCTCAGCATTCCTGGCTTGGGCAGGAATGAAGCTGCTCCCCTGGTCCATGTATTAAAGCTGAACTATTAGTCAAAAAGAAGAAAAAAACTGAAAAAGAAACGCAATGTTTCTTTGGGTATCATGCCTCTTCTTACTCGTGTTACAAGGATGTTTCTAGGGAGAGTACCTTGTGGATCATTGCTGAAATGGCTGGAATGTCTTAACAATGAAACATGGTCCTGAAAGAGTGAGAAAGAATGTTTTTAGTAAGAGCAGAATGTTAAGTTTTAAATTCAAGATTTTCCCTTATCTAGATCCAAATTTTCATTGGCCCTAAGTCACAGAAACATGCCTGTGAAAACTATTCTTCAGAATGTATGTTAGAATGATGTGAGCCCAACTGATAAGCATTTGAAAATTTAATGCTTGAATTAAAATAGAAGTGAAGATGAAAATCCTATTCCCTCCTATGAACTTGAGGGAGGAGGACTGAAATTTTACTACTTGTTTTTCACCCTTGCAATAAGTATTCACCGTGAAACTTAGGAACTATCAGACAACGCCCCATCCTACCTTGTTTCAACTGCTGGGACATCCATACGCTTTTCACAATAATGTTGCTATATTATACATTATCTATTTGTTCTTCATCTCTCTGATTATATTCTAATTTCATGTCCTTTTGTCCTTGTAATCAGTTCTCACTGAAAAGTATTTACGATTACAATGTTCTCTGATATTTAGTGTACTATGTAAGAGTTCAAATTATTAGGCACAACTGCAAAAAATGTGAAAGTCACAGTAACTTCAGCGAAAGCACAAGAGCAGGATTAGATGTTAATTCTAGTTTTCAAACTGTCTTCTTCTAAAGAGAATGTAGAAGTAATGCCTTGTGGAAATATGTAGAACTAAACTTTGCTTCATTTGCCTATATTCTGAGAAGTTTGGGTTTGTGCAAGTGAGGTGATGGCTTATCTGTTATTTATTGGTACATAAAGAAAATATTGGGATAAGCATACAGGGAGATTGCACTCAAGACATTGTCATGTATAAAAACAAATTTGAAAAAAGATGAAAATAGCATATAAAATAGGAAGTATAATAGTTTTTTCAAATCACATTGAAAAGATAGAAAACACATTTAAATAATGATTGGAAGAAAGACATTTGAAACCATAGCATTAAAAAATAAAACCATAGCGTTTCAGAAGCTGTTTAATAATGAATCCTGTTTTAGGGTAAAGTCATCAGAGAAAAAATAGAAGGATAAAAAGAGAGCAAAACAAGTTAAAATCAGATAAAAAATATCTTGTGTTAGAATTATTAAAGTAGTAAGCTAACCATTTTCTTTTCATTTTCTTCACTAATTCTTAGCAGTAAGAATTCTATGCACCAGAGGTTTTCATACCCTTTAGTATAGAAAGGTTCTTGAATATAATGACAAAAAAATCCCTATACAAATACAATTTAGAATTGTATTATATAATTATTCAGGGTGATTGCAAAACATTTGCAATGCATTTAGAAAGGGGATTAAAGTAGAAAGAGGATGCCATAGGGACTTGTCTCAAATCTGTGCTTGCACAGATATGCACTTGTTTTACTTAAATTTTATGCTTCTTCTTTGGAAAAGGAAGAATGTCAGAGGCTGTGGTGGGGTTGGTTGGGGTCAGTTAGCACCTCAAGCTCCCATGAAGGCATTTGTTATTCCTAGGGATAAAATAAGCTTAAATAGATTCTTAAAGGCAAGACTCATACCAGTAAGAAACACTACTTACTTCAAGTTAGTTTTGTGTATGTGTATGTGTGTGTGTGCGTGAATTAATTAGTTAACAAGCTATAGGATAACATATAAAAAGAATGTAATTAATTTTATTTCCAGAGTATCTCACATTAAATTACTAAGTGCTTTAAAACATACTAATATTGCAATGAGATGAAACTTGGGAACTTTGGGAGGGGTAGATGCATTTTGCATATGTGAGCCACTGGGGAAGGAGGTGAGCCTTGGTAAGAAGGTTGATGAGACAGTCCTGATTCTGTTCACTGCCTGGTGTTCATACCCATACACAATCCCCTTCCCTTTGGTATGGGGCTGCATGGTGAGCTTGAAGCAGAAGCTTTCTTGATCAGGACAGCAGATGACACAGCAGCCTCAGCTGGCCCTCATGGCAGCCTTGTGAGACCTCCAAGGAACAAAGGGCCAGCCAAGCCACACCTGACTTCTGACCCACAGAAACTATGGGATAATAAGTGTTTTGCTAAGTCACAAGATTTGGAGTGTTAACCCTCACAGTAGTAGGGAATTGGATTAGTTTCCTAAACCTGCTATAGCAAATTACCACACACTTTGTGTTTGAAGCTTCACAAGCTCACTGTCTCACAGTTTTGGACCCAGGTGTCTGGCATCAAGGGGTCAGCAAGCTGCATGCCCTCAGACACTCTAGTGTCCTTCTTGGTTCTGCTGGCACTCAGCTCTTGGCCACATCACTCCAAACATTGTCTGTGACCAAAATGTCTCCTCCCCTGAGTGTCTCATATGGGTTCTTGGTCTTAGGGCTCATTAGATATTCTGGCATGCTCATAAACCTCAAGAGTCTTGGCTAAGGTACACTAACACTTTTTTCAAATATGGAAGCATTCAGAGACTCCAGCTGTATGATATGGGTATCTTTTAGAAGGGATAGTTTTTGGTGTACCTTGTTGTTTGCAACTATGGTAAGCAAATAACATGATTAGATTTACACAGTAAATTCTGTCTCATTTTCCATATGACATCTCCAAAATGCCTTTTTGGGGTTTTCCACCCATGTTTTGCTTGGGGTGAGCCCAGAACTTTTCTTAGTTCACACACGGAATTACAGAATCTTTTCTTGGTCTCCCGCCTCTATTGGATTCCTGTGCGCTCTCTGTATCCCAAAATTTTGGTTTATGATACACAGTACTTCCATTTGCATGTGGCCTCCAGTATGGTTGCACATTTCCTTATCTCTGGACCTCCTTTAGAACAAAGCAGCAAGAGGGAGGGGTTGCCTTCTACCCTGATGTAGAAGCCAGGATTTTGAGAGTTTTTATTATGTAAACCTGAAGTCTGGGCCAGTACACAAAAGGAGAGAGAGAGAAGAGAGAGAGAGAGAGAGAGAGAACCTAAATAGGAATCCCAGGTAATCATATTAGTCATTATTCTATTTTGGCTCCTTTCCCCAGAGACCTTGCTATAATTTACTTGTTCTCAGGTAGTTGCCTTTTGTGCTTCACTCAGTGTATTCAGTCTTGATCAGTTGGAGAGAGGGTCTATAGTGGGTTTATTCTTTCTTGGCAAAAACTGGAGGCAATAGCTACTTTTGACAGAAAAAAAAAACTGTCCAAAAAGCAACTACACACTGACATCATTGATGCTTTGTATAATTGATATACTTCAGAAAATTCCCATAAGAATTCGGGTAAAATTAAGTCATTTTCAAACCGATAGAAACATATTAAAAAAACCCTAGATATTTTCTAAAGGGTGCCTTTTTTAGGCAAAGAAAAAAATAATGGAAGATACAAACTTGGAGCAGTGGCAAAGAATGAATAACCAGGAAAATGGAGGAGTCTACATGCACATTCTTTGTATAAAGCAGTACTGAGTTTAGATAAATTGAATTAAAGCACATTGCAAGAATCCAGCAAGCTTTGATAAATGGATGGTTTATTTACTAGAAAAATCCCTAATTAATCAGAGTGTGTGACTTCAACTTAAA